TAAATAGGTGAGTAAAGCAATAATGCTTATTACAAATACATACAAAAATAATAGTGCACAGATGCCTTGATATTTAATACTCAACTGAAGGTCTGGTATGAATGTAGAGTTTTAATTTTATTATTCTAACTTGGATGTTTCACTACTGGCAAACAGGAAAAATAATAATTGTGTACTTGGGACATTTCCTAATTGAGAACTTAATTGACTCTGGATTCTCTTGCACTTTTAATGTTTGATTTAAGATTATATGAAACAAATGACATCTTAACAAATTAAATTAGTGATAGATTAAAATTTTTGAAGTTAAACTTGGTTTCTGAAAGTTATAAAACACATTAGCAAGATCAACAATACTGACAATATATCAAGGGCTCTAGTGTATATTTTGAGAACAAAGTTTGATGGGAAGGGATATCAGGATCTGATTAAACTGCAAGGCTAGGACCATATGTTTACACTTGAGCTTCTGTCATCTGTGATGCCTTTGCTTGGCCAGAAATGTCCCTCTGGAATAATAAAATCAAGGCAGGAGGCAAAATAGTTGATATTCCATGTGCTTTAATAGGGCATATGGCTCCAACACCACAGACCAAATGGGTATCTACTGTGAATTTCTATCAAATGTATATTAACGTTTATTTCCCCCTTCAAGGTACTTTGGACTCAAGTGGGAAGTGGACCCCTTGCCAACTTCAAGACCATTTGAAGTGGAAAAACCTTATGGTAAGTTTAGATTGTCAGCCTGCAGTCTTAATAGATTTAGCATTGCAATATATCATGTTATTTTAAAAGGTTCACAAATCTTGTGCACCGGCTTTAGCATTGGCTGGTAAATCTCGCCATGAATAAGACTCCTTACACATGAAAGAGGGAAGCTCACTGAAGGCAGGGCATGTTTTCTTTCCTGTTTTTGCCATCACACACATTCTGGCACTGTTTCTCTTTTGCAGAAAGGATGCCAATCCCAAGAGTAAATTTGATGAGTTAAAGAAAGCCTGAATGTCAAAAGAATGAAAGACAGGACAGAAAATATGTTGATTTTAGAAACAAGGCCCTGTAACTTGACAAAACTATAGCTAACATTGGGTGATGATGTTTGAGAGAAGCAAAGTCTTCCATAAAAGTCAGTTGATCATATTCTCTTCTAAAAAAGTAGTATTTTGATCAGGTGTATTAGTGTGTCTAAGGCATTTAAATAAACTTCCTGAAGCAAGTGACAGATATTCCAATATGAGAGTCACAGGACAAGTGTAATGAAGGACACACACTGTTCCAGTACATTTTGTAACCAAGGTCATTGATTGAGAATAATCACCAGTTCCTTGGGAAGAACTTGAGCCTGATGTATGTACTCGCAGTATCTTCTGTTACCACAGTTGTCATACTTAATGAATTCAATTTCACCTTCATGAAATTGAATGGGCCTTCATCTCCCGATCTAAATTATCAACTTGATTATGCTCTGTAGCAATTGTTTCTACTGATGCCAAATGGGGCACAGCTATCATTAGTGTCTCCCTATTTTGGTGCCTAGAGTGGACTGCAGGCAGGTAAGCAGCAGCTCTTGAAAATTTTATCTTAAAGATATTTATTTATGTATGAACATCCTGCATAGACTTTTGTTAGAGGAAGAGGGAGTTGGCCTCATGTGAGAAGGTGAGAAATGTTGGTGGGGGTAATTCTCAAGTAGCAATGTGTTTTTGTTTTATCAGTGGATATGGTAAATTTATATCTGATTCAGAAGACGTTGGTTGGTATCTTAAAAGTCAACATGGTGATGGTGGTAGTGACAGTGTGTAGTTGTCTATACAACAGTAAATTCAAATGGCCCTTCTTATACGAAGTCAGGTGAGTCCAATATGGATTCAACAAAGGAACTGGTTGGGACTTTAGAAATTCTCAAGAAGAAACCACTCACTCATTCAAGCAACACTGTAGTTCTTTCCCCTTGAAAGCTGCCAAAGTGGCATTAGAGATTCATCAAATTGCTTAAGGTTACAGAATTGGAAGCTTGATTTTGTCAGGAAATTGAGAGTCATCTATTCACTGTAATGCTCAGGTTCCTATTAATTGAGTTCAAGGCTGAAATAGGGATATAGAATGCAAGTGTATTCATTTATACTCCAGGTTGTCCCTGTCACAGGAACCAGAAAAATTAAGTCCTCAGCACCAGCACATTCCTGGTCTAAGGGTCGGCCTGGAAGGGAAGCCAAATTCTAATTACTTGCCAGCGAGACATCAGAACATGGAGCATTTGTTTGATTAACTGCAATGTTTCTTGGCAACAGGCTAACTTAGCCTGTTGTTTTCAGCATCAAATAAGAAAGATCTTGACAAAGGATTACAGTATGCTGGCTACTGTATCTGCTGGCAAGTCCTGCTGCCTATTAAAATTTTTATTTTTTCCCTGTTCAAAATGCTTTCATGACTCTTTCCAACTCTCGTTTCATTTTCTAAGTCATCAAACCCATATTCTTTCTTTAGATTAGTTTAAAAAAAAATCAATCTCCATGGGATACTAACCAGAATCTTTAGATCTTGGTTATCATGTGACTTTGTAAAATAGGGTATCTTTTTAGAACACATCTTATGTCAGTGATTACTTGATTTTAGCTTGTGGAAATTAAGGAGACAAATTTTAGTCATATATCTAAATTAAAAAAGGACGCATGACCCCATGCCACACTACAGAGTTTTGTATGACACAAGGAAATCCACCTTTGAAGCACAGTGAAAACCACTTACTGATTTAACTAAGAGATCGTATTCTAAAATGAACATATTAAATACAAATACAGCTTGAGTGGTAGAAGTGTGGTGTCATTAGTGAGAAGTTTGATTAGAAGTGACAAGGTCTGCAAGAAGGAAAATGGAAGTCACAAGAGGCTTCCACTAATAGGAGGAGTCTGAGTAGGAAAATTTATGGAGAGTGTTACTTGTGTTAATTTGGCTGGTGTGGCTGTGGTGTGCTGACCATCTGGACACACCTCAATTTGCATTAGTGTCTAAATCCATGGCAGTGGACAAATACAAATGCAAATAGGAGTTAGGTCTGCTCTGTTCAGGACAAGATGGCATAAGTTAGATTGAATGTAAAACTAAAGATGTGATAATGATACCTAAGACTTGGATAAAGGCCTGATGTGGAGAAGGTTTGGGCATTCCTTCTGGAAAAACCAATCCTCAACAGAGAAGTTGGAATTTTCACTTTGCCTCTTCTTGATTAGTCTATCCTCTCTAAAAGAAAGGAAGAAAGTTGTAAGATGAAAACATGGAAAACCAGGATTTTCTCTTCTATCCAAGATGAAGAAAATAAATTATAAGCTTTGAAGGTGGGGCGGGGTAGCACATTGACTTCTCTTAACTTTGTTCCTGTCCTGCTCAGGGTTCAAGGGGACTAGTCACCCGGAGCTGGTGCAGGCTCAATCTAGTGGGGGTGCCTGTTGGCTCCGCAAACGATTGTTACCTGCTCCTTTACTCGTACATAGTGCTTTGGTGGATTCCTTGGCAATATTCCCCACAGAACCCTGGTGGCTGCGCACCTGATGAGGACAACATTATTCCTGGGTTACCTGTGTGGGCTACCTGTGATAACTTCTCTGCCCCCCTGGGTCCCAATATTCACCTTTGTCGGTGTCATTTTTGCCTTTCAAATAGATCTTTTCCAGGGGTTCTTTTTAAGGGCTTCCCTATGCCAGCGTCTACATTGGACTTTGAGTGAAAACGTTCTCGGAGAGGAGAAATGCACCTTGACCCAATGCACCTCTCTCTATTGTCTCTGGGCCTCAATTTCACAAGTTACTTTCCTTTTGCTTCACATTGAGGGAAAGCACTGCCTCAACTTTCGCGTGGGTGTGAGTGGCTCAATTCAGCTGCCAGTTCACTCTAGAGATGGCCTCAGACTTTTCTTCTCTTTAGTCTGAGGTCAGCAACCAATTAAAGCTGTCAGCGGATTTGGGACTGCTGCTTCCTCCCCCCATGTCTTTGAATGGTTTAGACTAACACTTGTCTTCAAATGTAGGTGTACTTGGAGGGTATTGTTTCTTTCTTCACTTTAGAGAGATTATGTTGAGGCAGAAAGAGTGGGCTTTAATAACCCCTTTTCACTTTTGAATTGGAAAAACCAGGAAAACGAATATGAAACAGGTCTGGGAGAATACTCTGGCAACTGGAGCCAATGCACCAAAAATGACAGAACCATCCTGTCATGTGAGACAGGTCTGGATCATTCCACCTGCAGGGATGACTTGGGGCCGTGTGCTATTTCTGACTGGGTAGATCAGGCACATCTTTATTTAAAGTGGGCTGTAATTTCCTTTTCCAATCTTGGGTTTAACCTCTGGGAGTAACACTTAAAAAGGTTCATTGTGTGCAAGTATAACATCTAAGAAACAATAGCTACATTTTCATGTTGTAAAAGAAAAAGAATCCACCTTGACTTTCACAGTTTTGGTCCAATTCTGCAACAAAACCTCCAGGGCTCTACAGCAGCCCAGAAAAAGTCACCCTCCAAATACCCAGCCAATAAACCAGCTTACACTGGTCCCCCGGAGTGCGGTTTTACTCCCATCATCAAACTGTGCTTGAAATGCAAACAGAAATACAATTATATTGGATTATTCTGATAAAATGATTAAAATGTAGAAGTTGTTAAAAATACACAGTCCTTGGTTATGCACATCATCATGGCGCTATTTATATGTGAATTATCTGCTTTTGGACACCTATTTGGGAAGTAAAGCAACAAAAGACTCGCACACGCAGATACTGATGCTCACTCTTAAGTTAGATTCCCCTGCTATGAAACCTTCGCTAAAACTAATAATTTGGAACAAAGCAAAATAAATTCTGTTTGCAACAACTTGAGGCAAGATGGCGGCGAGGCAGTTAGGAGTCTCGCGATAGATGCGGCAAGATAGCAGATGGTGGGGAAGGGAGGGTGGTGAGTGTCTCGCGAGAACTGGATGTTCCCAGAGGCCTCTGCGGCTCCCAGGGGCCTCTGCAGCTCCCAGAGGCCCCCGCGGCTCCCAGAGCAGGCCGAAGTCTTCCATCTTGCGTGCTCAGTGCTGGAAGAAGCTGCCTAACTTTCTTTACCCGAAGCCCATTTCCCTGGGATGGGAAGACAGCCCACCTGGCCGGAAGTCCCACCTCCTTGCTCTCCGACTCTTCCAGACGTTTTGCCGTCACCAGGGCTTGCCTCTACCCCTTTCTCTGCTCCATCCTTTCACCGGAGAAGGATACGTTTAGTGCCGCCCTCCCAGCCGCGCTGCCCCCCCTCTGTTCTGGAAGCTTCTTCCCCACAGCCCCATGTAGCTGGGACGCGGGGCCGGGGGTGGTCGGACCCCTGAGATCCTAAAAGAGGGGCGGACAGGGTGCAGAAGGCCCTGCTGCCGCCGCCATGCACCCCGCGGCCTTCCCGCTGCCCGTGGTGGTGGCCGCGGTGCTGTGGGGGGCGAGCCCCGCGCGGGGGCTCATTCGCGCCACCTTGGGCACGAAGGCCAGCATGGACTTCGTGGACCTCCCCGCCCTGTTCGGGGCCGCCCTGAAACAGGAGGGGCTGCAGGGCTTCCTCGTGGAGGCCCACCCTGCCAATTCCTGCAGCGCCATCGCGCCGCCGCCCGCCTCTCCGGCCAACGGGTCCACCTTCATAGCCCTGCTCCGCAGGTTTGACTGCAGCTTCGACCTCAAGGTCCTGAACGCGCAGAAGGCCGGCTACGGGGCGGCCGTGGTGCACAACGTCAACTCCGACGAGCTCCTCAACATGGTGTGGGACAGCGAGGAGATCCAGCAGCAGATCTCCATCCCGTCCGTGTTCACGAGCGAGAGGAGCTCCCGGTACCTCCGCTCCCTCTTCCTCTACCAGAAGGGGGCTGAGGTGCTGCTGGTACCAGACAGTCGCTTCCCCTTGAGCTATTACCTCGTTCCCTTCACAGAGATCATGGGGCTGCTGGCCCTGGCCATCGGAGCAGTGACGCTGATCGTGAGCTTCGTCCAGCACCGGGCAGACCTCCAGGGGACGCCGCTCACCCAAGAGCAGCTGGAACAGGTGCCCACTCACGACTATCGGAAGGGCGACCCCTACGACGTCTGCGCCATCTGCCTGGAAGAGTATGAGGATGGGGACCTGCTGCGGGTGCTCCCCTGTGCGCATGCCTATCACAGCCGCTGCGTGGACCCCTGGCTCACGGGCACCCAGAAGACCTGTCCCGTGTGCAAGCAGACTGTCCACCCAGGTCGTGGGCAGGAGGAAGGCGCTCAGCAGTGTGAGGGCGATGTGGAAGGGGCGACAAGGGCTCACCCTGCCTCAGAGCGAACCCCACTTCTGGAACCCGGCCCCTCACACCCCACATCCTTTGGGTCACTGGCCCCAGCCCCCCTTGTTTTTCTTGGGTCTTTAGCAGATCTCTCACTCTCTTCTTCCTCATCTTCCTCTTCAGATGCCGTCTTGAGCTGATCTCCTGCGCCACCTCTGTGACCTGTGTGCACAGCCGTGGGGCCTTTCTCTCCCAGGTTTCTCTGTTACCCAACCCAGGCCTGTAGAGGGAGTTGACGGTGCAAAGGGGCTGGGTCTTCGCTTACTGCATTGGTCAAATTGCTTTTGCAGACCCAAACCAAAATTGGTTGGATTCATGTGGGAGCCATAGGTGGAAGCCATCACAAGCCATTGGAAATAGCTTGTTTTCATAACCTGTGTTAGAGATGAAAACATAATTAAAAATGTTATTTTTAAATCACTCTTAGAGTATCTTAAATTGAATGGGATATTAACATTTGGCCTCATAATGCAATTTCTCGTATCTGTACAAACTTCAGTGCATTTCCTCTTACTGTTTTTGATCAGGGTCAGCATGAATTTAGTTATCTACACTAATCTGAATGTTCGATTGTCATCAGTTAATGCTTGAAGAGCACAGAACCATTAAAATGTTTACTTGGTTATGGCAAAAGAGTGAACTTGGTGGTAGGTCACTGGCCTTCTTACCTGTGAAGTGGCTGTGTCAATGCAGTTTTAATTGCTTTATATAATATGGTCATTTAGCATCATCATATGGCTAAGTAGGGTGGAATTTTAAAAGAATGTTCTTTAGCTTTGTCTGGAATCTTTTGGAATTAAAAACCTGTTTAAATGAAGGAAACATGCAACATGAAATGCTTTTTACCTGAGAGTGGTAATTGTTCAGCCACACCATATTTTCTGTATTTGGAGCTGCCTGTGTGTAATAGCATGACTGGAGTTAATAGAGGATCATTAAATATGACCTTTTTTGGAATTAAAGTCATTTTCACCCTTTAATGATTACTAATGATAGGGAAGCTAGCTTTCATTTGCACGGCCAATTTTAACATCTCAAACTTCTAGATATTCCGTTGTTGATGTAGATAACTACTCTCAGTGTAAGTCTCAGACTCTGTTCTGTTTCATGTGAAACTTGAAATAAAGTCTTAAAACACACCCAAAGACTTCTATCTTGGAGAACAGAATCGGTGATCATAAGATCTGTTATATCAGTTTTTAGTTTCAGTATCTCTCAGAACATGCTTCCTTTGGTGTGAGGTTTTCTTAAAATGCATGCATCGGGAAACATTATACAATATTGAGGGCTACGGCATGGATGCTGAGGTCACCAAGGAACAGACCCTGTATGGGTTTCCTAAGAGTGTGTTGACTGATGACTAGAGAAAGCAGAAGTAGAAGTTGAAGGGTAGTGTGGCTGCAACAGAAACCTCATTGGCCATGCCCGGACACACACACACACGGACACACATGGAAGGAACACTGGAGGGGCTAGAATGGCTTGCAAAGTTGTCCTGAATCAAAGCAAGAACACTGGGTCCACACGCCCCTGCAGTAATGTCATTTCTTTCAGGCCATCACAGAGGAAGCAGAGTCATTTTGGGCTGGTAACTTAATTCAGACAAGGACAATTCCTAGAGACACTCAGCTGAGAACATTTGGCTACCCATGGCATCCATATTGGGAGGAATGAAAGTTTCAGTGTTGAAGACAGCAGGTCTATTAGACCATGTAGCCACTACTGTAAGGACTCACTAAGGCAGTGTGGGTGGGTCTAAAGAATAACAAAAAATGAGAAACATCACTAGCTTTATGCAAGTGTCCTATTTGTTGAATATGCTACTGTGACATTATTACCAAATGTGAGTGATATCCACACGTTGCCTCTGCCCTTTACTCAGATCGCCGTCCTACACTTTTTTTTTTTTAAGATTTATTTATGCATACAAGAGCTGGGGTGCAGGACAGAAGCACGGGGGTGTGCATGAGAGGATTCACCAGAGACAGAGTGGGGAGCAGATCAGGCAGATCTAGCGAGGAATACTGCTGAGGGGAGCAGCAGGCGAGACAGGAGAGGTCTGCTGCGCCATGTGGGTCACCTCCCTGGCCGGGGACTGAACTCGTGCTGCAGTGGCTGCGGATAGCTTCGTAGTGCTGACATTTAACCGCTTGCTCCACCAGGGAGGCCGCCCTACACGTTCTAAAAAATCTATTCATTCCTCCATTCTTCCTCCCACTCATTCTTCTCCCCCGAATCTGACCAGTCCTGCATTCTGTAAATATGCAGTTGTAGACTGGGGATAAGCTGGCCCTGTCCTCCTGTGAAGTAGAGAATACTAAGCTTATCATGTGAAATGTGATTAATAGTATGATAGAAAATACAACTTGCAATACTTCTCAAAGTAGAGGTGGGAGAGGAAGATCTAGAAAATCATGGGCGCAGAAGTTGTTGAAAATGATGCTGAGACTCCCTGGATAGATAAGAGACTGGCCAAGAACAGAGGAGAGGTGATAGTATCAACACAGACTGGCGCATAACGTGTGTACGCCTGCACGGTGGGAGACCGCAATGCAGTCTTCACGTGTGTGAAGTAATTCCAGCACTTTGGTCATGAAGTTGTTGCCTGTGTGAGTGAGGGTTAGATTTGAAAGGCTCAAACTGCTTAAGTCATCGTGTCTGTGCTACTAGGGGGAAAGGGAAGCAGACTAGGAACTGGGGTGGCCAGAGAGAAGACAGTATAGTAATCCAGGTGAGAGATGATGGTCACCTGGCCTCAGGTAATGGCAGTGGGATTGGAAAAACATGGCATCATTCAAATAAATTTTCTTGTTACAAGAGATGGGAAGAATGTGAAAAAATACAAATGGATAATCACAGATGACAGAGAAAATAACTATGCAAAATAGCTTATTATATTTGTAAAAGTGATACTTTTTAATCATTTAGTTTTGAGAACTAGTGTTTTGTTTCTACATTTTTTATAAAGATTTATTTATTTTTATTTAAAGATTTATTTTTTAAAGATTTATTTATGCATACAAGAGCTGGGGTATAGCCCAGAGGTGCGGAGGGTGAGAGGGTTCACCAGAGACAGAGTGGGGAACAGAACATCCAGACTGACTGAAACACACTGCTGAGGGGAGCAGCGGGCGAGACAGGAGAGGTCTGCTGTGCCATGTGGGTAGCTCCCTGGCTGGGGACTGAACTCATGTCACAGTGGCTGGCCATAGCATGAGAGCGCTGAGACTTTAAACCCTGTGCTCCCAGGGAGGCCCCTAGTTTTTACTTTTTGACAAATTGATTAACTTTGCCTCAGCTGAAAAGATATAAGAAACTAATAAGGAGAATAGAGGAGGTATATTTTGGATATCCTGTAAGTTTGTTATTATTTGGGAGCAAAGTCAATGTAAAATGTCAGATTATCCTTAGAGGACATGCTTTCTGAGCTCATGAGTAGTGTGGATGGACAAACCACACACAGAGTCAAGGTCTCCTGCAGTCTCTTTTGAAGGAGATGAAGGCCACGGATAAGAACTACAAAGTTAGGAGGACATTGCGGATTTGGAACTTCTGTTCTCTGGATTGAATAAGGCATTAAGGTATTTTGTAAGAAGATAAATATAGTAAATGATAATTAATGCAGGAAGACATGGCATTATTGGAGAAGCCCATTCAACATTTTAGCAAACCTTGGACCTATTTCCATAGTCTTTATTTCAGTACTACTGAAGTGCTGCTTGAAGTCTTTCCCTCGGTAAATATGATCTTTATTCAATATTTCACCATAATTCATGATAATTTGTGTTTGATTTGCCCTGATTATCATTGAAGGTTATTGTTTTTGTGAATTTCAAGTTGCCTAGTTTTCAAATGTAATTTTTATTTACTTCTCTGTGAAGAGGAATGCTGATTGTCTGAGATTGCCTGTAGTGCCCTTAATAGTCAGAGATGGTTTTCTTCTCCTTAGAAAGGAAATGTGACCCACGGATTACACCCTTGAGAGATGATACTTCAAATTGGAATTCACAGAGTAATTGCAGCCTGTGGTAATGCATCTTCAACATCTTAAAATAGCTGTTAGATGGTTCGAGCTTTTCCCCGGGGGAAAGGCAGTGTTCACAAGAAGATGTCTTTTGTCTCTTTCAAACCACTGGGGCAGCCATTGAACATTGCACGTAGAAGCACCATGTATGATATTTTCTGAAGCGATTTGAAAATTACCTGGAAAAATCCATGTCCATCAGCTTTGCCTTATGCGATAAATAAAAATAAATGAAGCAAAGTGATATCTTGAATGATTCCAGAGTTGGACTAATTTTAGACTATAGTAGATATACAATTTGATCTTCTTTCTTAGTGTACAAGATTATAACTGAAAAAATTGCTCATGTGATGTGCCATTAAACCCATTTAATTTGTACTATTTACAGAACATATATTTTTAGATTTATTTATTTTTATACAAGAACTGGGGCACAGGCCAGAGATGTGGGAGGCAAGAGAATTCACCAGAGATAGAGCAGGGAACAGAACAGGCAGACTGACTGAAATACACTGCTGAGGGGAGCAGCGGGGAGACAGGAGAGGTCTGCCGAGCCATGTGGGTATCTCCCTGGCTGGCCAGGAATTGAACCGGCACTGCAGAAGCTGCTGATAGCTTCACAGTGCTGCGCTCAACCCACTGCGCCACCGGGGAGGCCCTTTACAGAACACATAAAGAATGAAAATTAATTACTCCTTTTTATATGAAAATTGCAATGATGGAGGCATATTGGATCTACTGGTGAATTTGAGAAACTGGGACACAAACTTAAGACAGTGACACATTCTTAGTAATAACTAATGACAACTATTTTTTTTTCTTTACACCCTGCCTTCCCTACAGCTCTTAGCACTGCGACTTCCTGTTGCAGCATATTAAAAGTGTGGAAATTCTAGACTTTTCCAAGTAGCAACACTATAAAGTGACTTGTGAAGATCATCAGAGAGGTGTTAAGGGAGATGTGGGGAGAAGAAAAGAGAAAGTACAAGGGAACACAAGGAGCATCTCTTGGAAGATTTTCCAGGGAAATCTCTCTGGAGGGCCTGGTCCATCTACTGGAAAATTTGTTTGTTTGTTTGTTTTTTCCAAGGACCTCGTCTTTTTCATCCTCTCTCCATATCCCACACATCAGCCAGTTCTGTCTTTCAAACAGATCTCAGGCTGCATCTCACTATCTTTGTTGCTCTATTACTTTTCATGTGAGTGATGGTAACAGCTTCTTACCTCCTCTCTAATTCCACAGTTGACACTTGATATCTCTTCTCCATCGAGTAGTCAGGTTCTAAATTGTAGATCAAATCACATCATTTCCCTCATGGAATCTCCTCAGTAACTCCCACTTGCTCAAGGTAAGATTCCAACTTCTGGGGCCTCCCCAGTGGCACAGTGGGTTGAGCGCAGCACTGTGGAGCTGTCTGCAGCCTCCGCAGTGCAGGTTGGATCCCCGCCGGCCGGGGAGATTCCCACATGGTGCAGCAGACCTCTCTTGTCTCTCCCACTGCTCCCCTCAGCAGTGTTTTCTATCATCTGCCGGTTCGGCTCCCTGCTCCGTCTCTGGTGAACTCTCTTACCCTCCCGCGCTTCTGGCCTGTACCCCAGCTCTGTATAAATAAAATAAATCTTAAAAAAAAAAAGATTCCAACTTCTTGCAATAGTTCAGGAGGACTTTGTTGGGCAAATTTCTAACCTTCACCTAGCATGTGGGCCAGACCTGGTCATTTGCTCTAATAGAATACAGCCAAGAGATGGGCTCTAAATGACTACAATTTCCATCTTGAAAGCAAATTCTCTACTTTTCAGTTCACTCACTTTGACAATGCAGGTTGCCTTATTGGAGACTCCCAGGGGACAGGGCACTGAGGGTAGCATCTGGACAACAACTGGTGAGAAAGTGAAACCCTCAAGCCAGCAGCCCACAGGGAACTGCATCTTGCCAACAACCATGTGAATGACTTTGGAGGCAGATCATTCTCCAGTTGAGACTGGACGACCCCAGCTCCGGCCAACACCATGATTGCAGCCCAACAAAGACTCAGAAGCAGGGAATCCAGGCAGATGCGGTCCAGATTTCTGACCAAGAACTGCGATGAGTGAATAAGTGTTGTTCCAAGTCACTAAGTCTTGGGGTAATTTGTGAACTGCAAGAATT